GTGCTTTGCTTATCTCCCATCTCTATAATGGGCTTGCGAGCTTGGATACTCTCTCCTTCATTCCTGAATCTGGCAGGACTGTCTTTCCATCGTGGCTCCATTGTTTACATTGTATAGACTCTACTTAGTTCTGATTTATAAAATTTGTTCTACCTTTTCACCTGTTTATCTTAAGTGAATACAATATCTGTTTTATTTCTGATTCTTTTCTAAGTTCTGATACTTCAATTTTGAGATTTGCTAGCTCTGATTTAAGTTGGTTTTTTTCAGATTATGTATCATTTTCTTAATTTCCTAGAGCTTCGAAAGCATAGGTTAGTGTTGTTCTGTTTTGTGAGCATATTTTTTCTGATGTGCTTGCCTTATCTATAGGAATATTTTGTCACTGTTTCTTTTCATTATTACTTTGAATGGGATTCCATCCTGCATATTTTTTTTATCTCTTGCTGTTTTAACGAATCACCCCAAAACATAGCAACTTAGAACAAACCATTAATTATTTCACATTTCATGTAGGTTTGGGCTTTAGAAGTAGTTTATCTGGATGGCTCTCACGCTGGGTTTATCACCTGTTGCTGTCAAGATGCTGATGAGGGCTGCTGACAACTGAAGGCTTGACTGGGGTTGGAGAATCCCCTTTGGGAATGGTTCCCTGCCATGACTCCCACCCATCTTGATAGGAAGCCTTGGGTCCTCACCGTGGGAATCTCTTCATAGCTGATTGAGCACCCTCATAACATGGCAGTTTAGTTCCCTCAGAGAATGAACAAAGAAGAACCAGCAGTACCTCCTCTGTTTTGGCCTCCAAAGTTGCACATTGTCATTCCTGCCATAGTCTGTTCATCAGTAAGCCAAGCCGACACTTGAGAAAGGAATTAGGAGCCACCTCTTTTTTATTATTATAATTATTAACACGTAGTAAGTGGACAAATTGCTTTGGTATTTTTTTTTTTTTTTTTTTTTTTTTTTATCGGTACCAGGGATCGAACTCACGACTGCCTGCTTACAAGGCAGGCGCTTATGCCGCTGAGCTAAATCCCCAGCCCCTTGTATTTTCATAAATGCATATTAGCCTCCACCTCTTGATGGGAGGAGTCTGACGGCATGTTGTTTGCTTTATGAGATTTTCTACCTCTGTCCCTCTCCTCCAACCCCTTGATGTAGACTTTCTCTTCTTCTGTCCTATTTCCTTTGAATTCTGCTATTGTGTTGGGTAAACCCCTTCTGGTTTAACAGTTATCCTCAAATTGGCTGGTGAAGTTTTCCAGTGAATACCTGGGGGCCCTTTTGGGGTTCTCCTCCATTCCATGAGAGGTCCCTTTTCCCTTCTATGTTCTCCTGTTCAGGAGCAGAGACCATCTAGGTTTTGTAGCCTTCTGTGTTGCAGTTCCTGGAGATAATTTGTCATCTACTTGTATTTAAAGTGCAGTCTGTGCACTTCTGATTTTGCTAGCTTTTTGTTTTCTCTATCTTTATGAGGAAGGGTCAAGAGAGACCCTTTCCACCGCTGACATGTCTCAGAATCCAGTTTGGCTTTTTATTTTAGGTAGAAATATTAGTAAAAAGAATCATTTCCTTTCTTTCCTGCCATTGCCTTAAGGAGGTGGCAGTGCAAGCATATGGATGGATAGCACACTGGGCCTGGCCTCAGGGGCAGTCTGTCTGTCTACCGTGAAGACAGTGGAAAACCGAGAGCCAAGGGTCCAGCAGTGCAAGTTCTCCAACCTGGAATGCGACCCACGTGCCCAGGTCCTCAGACTCTTTGGAAGCAGCCTCAATTTGGGATTTTGCATGAAGTGTTTATATTTTTAAATGTCAGCAGCTAATTCTAATGCATAACAAGTGCTGAGTGTGCCTCAAATATGTCCATGAATGAGATTCTGTCCAGGAGCTGGTTTTGTTCACACGTCCCTCATTGCCTGTGTGACCTTTGATCGTATCCTCTGACCTCGTCAGCCTTGACTGGTTTGCTCACCTTGTTCACTCTTGTGCCTGAGCCTATAAGCTGTGTCCGTACCTGAATATCAAGACTCTAAACATTCTTGCTCCATGGCAGATGTGTTAATCAGTTTTCCCTCACTGTAACAAAACACCGGGATAGTCAGCTTTAAAAAGAGAAAAGGATTATCTGGGCTGATAGTTTCAGAAGTTTCAGTCTGGGGTGGATGACCCTGCAGCTTTGGGCTGGTGGCCAGACAGCACATCATGGCAGAAGTGTGAGGTGGAGGAAGCTGCTCATCTCATAGTGACGGGAAGTGAAAGAGACTGGCATCTCACAGTCCCCTTCAAGGGCGCTGCTCCAGTGACCTCTAACTCCACTACATCCCACCTCTTAAGGGTCCCATCACCTCCAAGGGCATCAAAGCCTTGAACACGCAGGCATTTGGGGGAAATTTAAGATCCAAACCATGGTGGCAGGAGCTCAGGAAAGATTCAGGCAGAATTGAACCACTTCTCAAGACAATGGCAGAGCCATAGTAGGGTGAAGAATGGCCCTGAAGGTGGCATGCCCTAAACCGTGAAAGCTGTGACTATGTGATCTCACAGGGCAAAAGGAACTTTGCAGATGTGATCAAGGATATTGAGATGGGGGATTATCCTGTGGTTATCATCGTAAGAGTCCTGACCGAAGGAGGTGGGGGGGTCAGAATCAGTGTGAGGACCTGTGATGGTGGAGTGATATGAGGAAGGGGACAGGAGCCAAGGAGTGCAGTCATCTCTGCAAGTTGAGAGCAAAGAAACAGATCTTGCCGAGATCTGCAGTGGGGGCACAGCTATGTCGACACCTCAATTTTAGCCCAGTGAGCTTGATTTTGGACTTTTGCACCCTGGAACTGTTGGCTAAAAAATTGGTATTGTTTTAAGCTGCTAAGTTCATAGACATTTATTTTAGTAGCCAAAGGGGAGACTAACAACTTGGATGTCAAGATTCCCTCAAGAAGGGGGACCGGGATGTCCTTTAACCTACCCCCAAGGGAAGAGGCTTTAGTAACAGAAACCCAAATCCAGTTTAAGAAAAAAGGAAAAAAGCAAGAACATTTGTGAGCTGTCTGGTTTCTCTGCTTACTCCAGGGTCTCTGCTGATGGACAGAAATCTGTGGTCATGGAGAGAGGGTGATTCTGTCTCTCCATGCTGATTTCCTCTAGTCCGTCACACCAGCAGCCCTGGGCTTCTCTGACACCCAGCCGCTGTGGGTCCTGCTGCTTGGAAGAGGTCCTGAGTTGCTTTTCAGTGGCTCTGCTGGGTTCCTTGTTACCTTGACCCCAGCATGGCTGTGTGACCGGGGCTGGATCACAGCCTCCCCTCCAGCCAGGTGGGGTGGGCGGGCAGCTCCCCTGAGCTGCACGGCCTCAGAGGCCAGGAAGGGTGTTCTCGGCAGGCAAGCGGCAGTGTTCTTTTCAGGAAAGGGGAGAATGGAGACCAACCAGGAAGAAGCAACTGACACCCAACACCACCATCTCTTGCTCCAAATCCTGGGATCCCAGATTTCCAAAACTTTCTTTCTGATAACTGTTGATTCACAGAGCTTTGAAAAGTCACAAGCGTCTCATCCCTAAGGACTTTAAATTTTGTTTCATTTAACTATCTTTATTACATATGTTTTAGATTACGTAGATAATGTGGTCTAAGTAACCACTGAAACAATGCCAAACACTACAAAGAAACACATACACGTTTTGCTGTGCCCCGTGTATAAAGTCGCCCTGTCCCAAGCTGGAAGCCTGGATTTATTCTTCCTCATCTTGTCCTCTGATTGGGCACGTATGGCCTGCTTTTCTTCTGCTAGTGTTGCTGGTTTTTATGGATCTAGCCGTACAGTCTTCTGTTTCACATTCTTGTCATTTCTCCCCGATCCTGAGTTCAGGTCCATCTCATTTTAAAGAATTTGTCAACCCATGAATACTTGTGTGCTCTTAATGAGTCAAGGGGCATCTGTGCGTTTAAATGAAATATTACTTTTATCTTGTACCTCATCCGCCCTTTCTTTTGCCCTAGAGGATCAGGCATCCTTTGAGAGAGACTCTACCTTTACAAAGATACATAAATGGAAACGTTTTCCATGGGGATGGGCATTGTTTATTTTTATTTATCAATGTGTCTTGGGAACCGTGCTGGATCACTGCTCAGCATGCTTTGTAATTTTATTTTGTAGCTGCCCAGGGTTTCTTTGTGTGACTGTAGCATGGTTTATTTGATGCCTTTCCTACTGATGGACCTCGGAGTGTTTGTAATCTTTTGTCATCACAAACAGGACTGTATGAAAAAGTACCTTGGACACAGGTGTTTCGCCTAGGATGCATATCTGTAGAAAGAGTTTGTAGAGGTAGATTTGTTGGGTCCAGAATATATGGAATGAAAATGTAAGTGCGTACAGCTAAAAAACAAGACAAAACAAAACCCTCCACCAAGATGGTACCGATGCATTCCAGTCCCGTCCCCACCCTATGAAATGTTGGAGTTTGTTTGCTCATTTTCATCAGCATTGTGGGTTTGGGGCTTTCTGTTGCTACAACAAAATATCAGAGGCTGGATACATTATAAAGAAAAGTTTATTTGGCTCATGATTCTGGTGACTAGAAGGTCCAATTAGCATGGTGCTGGCTGATGCTATGATGGAGAAGTGTAAAGGAAACCAGAAGAGACCAAGCCTGTGGGGTTGGCCTAGCGTTTTAACAGCTCATTCTTGAGAGAACTACGCTAATCTCTTCCAAGGTTGGTACCCCAGGACCAGTCACCTCCATCAGGACCACCTCTTAAAGATTCAGCAGCTCTCAGGAGCATTACACTGGGCACCAAGTATCCAGCACATAACCCTTGAGGGGACACACTTAGACTGTATGCAACCCACAGCTGAATCTCCCTGAAGTTGAACCCAAATCTCAAAAACAGAGTTGGCTGGGGTTTGGATGGAAGGCAGCATGGTGGGGTCCTGGGGTTCCTGCCTCTGCTCCTTGTGGCAGTGCTCTGAGCAGGTCTTTGTCCTTCTTTGTCTCTGCAGAGCAAGCTGGTGAAGTACTTCAGCCGTCAGCTGTCCTGCAAAAAGAAGGTGGCCCTGCAGGAACGCAACGCCGAGCTGGATGGCTTCCCCCAGCTCCGGCACTGGTTCCGGATCGTGGATGTGCGCAAGGAAGTCCTGGAGGTGACCAGGGGCAGCCCTGTACCCTTTGACTCTGACCCTGACCTTGACCATGCCTCTGCTGTTCCTCGGATGGCAGACTTTAGCTGTGTCCAGCACAGCTCATGGCACATAGCGGGCCCTCCTCTGGACAGACTGGAGGATGCAGGCGGGGTCTCCGATGTGTCCAGAGTTGTTAAGGCCGTGGTTCTGGGCTCAGTCACAACTTCCTCCAGCCATGCCAGTCTTTAACAGAGTCAGGTTAGCCCAAGCATTTCACCTCCTGGGTCAGCACTGTCCAGTGGAACTGACTGCTATGACAGAAATAGTTTGTATCTGTGCTGTGTGCTGTGGTAGCCACTGGCTATGAGTGGCTGAGGAGCACTTGGACTGTGCTTAGTGAAGGAGGCTGAGGAACTAAAATTTTAATAGGTTTAATGTTAATTAATGTGGCCAGCGGCTGCCATGTTGGATTGCATGATCTTAGAGTGTCGGTCTGCCCAGCTTTTAAATGCAGGTAACGATTGTCAGTAGCTGGCATAATAAAATGAGATGATTTGTATAAGATGGTCGGCTCGCGTCTGGCTCCTCACAGCACTCAGTAAATGTTTCCTTATTAAAAACTTTTGAGGTCCAGTAACAGGTTTTGCAGTGGTAAAGCTTGGCTGGACCACCTGATTCTGTGTGTCCGCCATATTCTTAAGGTCTCAGGAGTTGTAAGGTTTCCTCGCCCTCTTGGATCTCAGGAGCTGGCGCCAAACCACTGCTACTGGTGCCAGTTCGGCTCATAACATCCAGCCTTCAGTGCCAAGGATTATTTAAGGCATTTGCGTAAGGCTCAACAATTGAGATGATTCAGTGATGAGCCTCTCAGTGACCGTCTGAGTGGTTGGGACTAATACCCCATTCTACAGATTGATAATCGAGGCTCAGCGATGAAGTGACCTGTGCAACTGTTGAATAGGCAGGAGAATCCAGCTTAGATGGCTACAGTTAAGTGCCTGGCCTGGGCCACTTTTCAGAAGCTTTGAGGCCCCTTTATCAAGGGCTAATTATGGAGAAAAGAAGGCACAAACGAATCTTCTAGATGAACGGTTGAAGACTGGTGGCTCTCAAACTGTATCTGATCAACAGATAGTTCCTGTTGGTGGATATGATTCTTAAAATTTTATTTTAAACCAATATTTAAAACACTGAACAAGTTCTCCTAAGGAGTTCAAAGCTCAGAGCTGAGGGAGTATCTTGGTGGTAGAGCATGTGCCTAGCATGTGTGAGGCCCTGGGTTCAGGCCTAGTAGTGCAGAGAGAAAACAAACAAACAAACAAACAAAAAAACAAAACAAAGCAAAAGCTCAGATCTTTGGCTGCAAGGTCAGAATTGCTAATGGTGCAGTCTCTGTCCAGTGAATAAGCTGATGACCTGGGTCTCCTGCCCCTTTGGGTCCCCGAGGCTTCCTGCAGTCCACCGATTTGCTCCTTTCCATTCCTGGGGTGCTGGAACCTGACCTTGCGCTCAAGGTCTCTGACCTCTGAGTCCAAAGCTCCCCGCTTGGGAGGGGGCGGAGCTGGTTTTGCTTTCTGCCTGCAGTTCCTGAGTGTGTCCACCAGAGGTCCTCCTTGCAAGGAAGCGGCAGTGTAGGCGCAGCTCCAAGAGGCTCAGCTGGGTTCAAGCTCCACCACCTGCTCCTGTGTAGCCTTGTGCAAATACCCTAACCCCTCTGAGTTTAGTATGTTGGTCTTAAATGAGGAGAAGAGTACCATTGCTATGTGGCTTTTGTAGCATATAAAGAAAATTTATGGAAAGCACTTAAACCAATGCTTCATCCACCTTAGCTGATACTGTTTTATCACATGTATGTGCCGTCTGCTCTCTTGTCCAGGTTTGTAAAGGTTTTCTCCACCTTTACTGCCATAAGAATTAGTTCTCCACTTTTTATGACCTTAAACTTCAGTGTAAATAATTTAAAGTGGAAAAATTAAAATGCACGAGACCTGCAGCCAGCAAAGAGGAGAGAATCCTTTCATGTTGCGCACGATCTCATCTCAATGTGATTCCTCCTGTACCTCAGTCCCGGGGTTAGCGCCTTTGATACAGACCTCACCTGCAACCTGCCCCAGTTTGACAAAGCCCCAAGAGACTCAGTTCCTGTTCTGTTTCTGCCCCTGACCAAGTGCGCTGTCTGGGCTTTGGCTTTTGTCCTCCAGCTTACTTATTTATTTATAAATCTTTTGGTGGAATGTGTGTGTTGTGGTTTTCCTGTTTCTGGTTGAGTTTAATGGTGGGAATCTGAACTTTGTTGTAATACACAGATGTGACCACCAGAGGGCAGAAAGCGCTCACACTATTACCCTGGATAGCACCATCCAAACATTTGAAACCCTTATTTAAATATTTGTGTAAAAACATTGGCTACCATTAAATGCTAAAATGAAGGCGCATAATGTATATGTACTATGTATATATATACGTATATTTATGGACGGGTAAATACAGAAGTTCAAGTTTTGAAGAGTGCTCTTATTCTAGGCAGACACATTAAGCACTGGGAGCCTAGCTCACCATCTCAGAGGCGTCCCTTGCCCGCCCCACACCACTGCCCAGCCTTCCCACGTGGCTTTAAGGTACAAAGCTGCGTGCTATATGGCGCTTATGGCGCTCATGCACAAATCCGGTCCCATTCCCGGCCCTGAGTCACCCGTGGACTTTCAGCGTTTACCCGCTTACAAGCAGATATGCTCGAACCCTCGACCCTGTGACCGGCACAAGAGGGTCCCGGCACAAGTTGGAGGGCAGGCAATAGCAAACCCGAGACTCAAACCCAGAACTGTGTGACCCCACATTACAGACTCACCCCTTACAGTACAGGACATTTGCACAGCGGTGTGTCCGCCTCTGGGCGCCGCTAGGGGGCAGTGTGGAGGCGCTCGCAGCCTGGTTGATGGTTTTCTGTTTCCTGCCCTAGGAAATCTCTCCGGGTCAGCTGAGCCTGGAGGACCTCCTGGAGATGACCGACGAGCAGGTGTGTGAGACGGTGGAGAAGTACGGAGCCAACCAGGAAGAGTGCGCCCGCCTCAACGCCTCCCTCTCCTGCCTCAGGAACGTGCACATGTCAGGTGAGCGGGCAGGGGTGTGCACCCCTGTCCCCAGCATGTCTGCCACCGTCCTGCAGTGTCCTGTGTCCGGTGTCCGCAGCAGAGCAAAGGTGGGCTTGGGTTTAGTGGCCCAAAGACGCTGTTGGATTTGAACTCAGCCCTGGGACAGACTGCTGAATCCCATGGGCGACGAGTCCTGGATAATTATGGTCCTGATCCAGAAATACTGTGTGTGTGTGTGTGTGTGTGTGTGTGTGTAAGATCAGGGTCCTTTAACCTTTGCATTGCGGACCACTGGTTAGCATCTCATTTTCTTGCATAAACATGAAGGTGTGCTCGAAAACGGTGGTGAATGTTTAAACAAAAGAAGTTATCACAGTTAAACACACACAGCTGCTAACCCCCCTCACCATTCTCTACCTGGCTTCAAGCAGGCTCAGCCCACCCGTCTCGCCAGCAGCTCTGAGGTCCCCTCTCCTGCCCGTCTTTAGCGATGCTGTCAGGGCTGACTTGATGTTCTGAATCCGTTCAAATGTTTACCTTTCATGTCGTCTTGACTCTGGGGAGGAGCCAGGAGTCATCTGGTGCCAGGTCTGGTAAATAGTGTGGGTGAGGGCACAGAGCCAGCCTGCCTGCCTGCCTTTCCGTGGGCTGGCACTCGGCCGCAGCATTTGCTATAGTTTTGAAGCCACCTGTTAAAGACCCTCAGGAAAGAGGACTCCAGAACTGCTTCGGAAAGCGGCGAGCGTGATGGGATGAGTATGTTCAAAGGAGGGAGTGTTCTGAAGGGGATTCATGGCAATGTGTCTGTATGTTCCAGTCACCTCTCTACTGTTCATTCGTTACAACATAAATCAGAATATAACTACTCCGGGCCCTACATCCTAAGGGACCTGCTGTTCTCATTTGGTATAATTTTTGGTATAATCCTTCTAGACAAGTGGGTATATATCTACGTCTTTAAAAAAATGGAGTTAGGTTATTTTGACGCTTTTAAAAAAAAAATCTAACAAGATAACCTCTGGGCTCTATCAATTTAGGTTCAAGTGTATTGTCATCTCTCCTGAACCTTTCCAGGAAGTTGCTCAAACCCCTGTCGGTCTTCCTTAGCATAATATCAACCATTGATCCGTTCATGACCCAGTCCCCTCCCAGTAGCCTGATGTCTAACATCGTCACCTCGGGGCTTAGGTTTCTACCTGTGAATTCTGGGAGACGTGACATTCAGACCACAGCAGGGCCCTGGGCTTCACCTGTCCAGTGCTGACCCCTAAATGCCTTTCTCCACTTTCTTCCCTCCCAGCCACGCCCTTCCTCAGTATTGTGACCCCTGTTGCCCTTTCTCCTGTCTGGCTTGACCGCCCTCTAGAGACTCACCTTTCTCCGGCCAAAAACTAGAGGCAGAACCCCGATCGGCTTTCCCGTGGCCCACTGCCCTCCTGTCATCCTCGACCTCTCAGAGCCCCGGTCCTCGGTGACATCAGCAGTCAGGTTGGCTGCTGGAGAGGTGTGCCCGTCCTGTGCTGCCGCCTCCCCTCCAGCCGGGACTGGGGACCTCGGCCCGCGGACAGCAGGCCCCTTCCCCGACCCCGCCGCTGCCCCTCAGCCGCCTTGCCGAGCTGTCTGATCTTTCCTCCTCTTCCGCTCGGTTCCTTCTCCCCGGCTTCTCCTCCTTCTGGCCTTTTGGTCATTTCCAGCCTAGTAACTTGTGGTCCCTTTTGCTTTCCTGAGGACAGACTCCAGCTGGAGATGGTGGGCAGCCCTGCCTTCCTTCCTCCCTTCCCTGCTGCGTCTGCCCTCTGGCCTGTCCCTGTCCCTCTGTCTGTCCTGTGCTCACTGCGAGATCCAGGACTGAGCTGAGACTTGGAGGGGGCAGGCAGGGAAGGAGAACAGGAAACGGGAAGAGGAGGAGGCGGAAGTGCCCTTATGAGGGGGGCGATGGGCAGGAGCAGTGCCGAGGGCAGGCTGGCACTGTTACCTGGTGGGCACCAGAGAGGTGAGGCAGCCCGAACTGACAGGCGGGCGTGCTGGCCCTGGGGCGGTGGGCTCGTGCGGGGCTGACACTGCAGGCAGCCGTGGGGTCCTTGCACAGCTCTGGGACTGACCTCTCTGCAGACTAGCAGGGCACAGAGCGGGGTGCAATGCCGGGTGGTCCTTCGGGAGGCCCGCAGAGCATGCAGGGGCCAGGAGGGCAGGGTGCCGCCTCAGGCAGGGCCCCTGGACCCTGGTGACATCTGGAGCTGGCTTCGCGGGACCCACCCCGGCTGCTTCTCCCGAGACTAAGGGGGGAACTGGCAGGCAGGAGGGAAGCAGGAAGCAAAGCGTCCCGAAATAGGACAGCCTCAGATGCTCCCGCTCCTTCCCAGTTTGGGCTTTGAATGAAGCCCGCCGCCTTCCCTGGTAGAGTCTTCCTTTGAGCGGCACAAAGAGGGAGAGTGCGTCTTGATTGGCCTATTGTTCCAGCTGCTGCTAACTTGGGGAAAGCTGGGGTCCGGAAGAGCAGCCCCTCCCAGAACCAGAACCATGGTATGTGCTAGCATGATGTCCTTCTGTCCCCCGGGGTGTGCGCCGTTCCTCCTGTCCTAGGCGTTTGGAATCCCTTACCAGTCCATAGCACTGCAGGAGGGCACCCTCGAGAGAGAGGGACAGACACAGTCACAGTCACAAGCCTGCTTCTGCACCAGCAGCTCAGCCATGCTGACAAGCTCCACCAGGGAAGCAGAAGCAGCAGGGTAAACATCTGAGGGCGTTGTGGATTGTAAGGAGTTCGCTTCTGCACCTGCTGAGGGGCTGTCTGGGCTGTCTGAGAGCTGCAGAGGGAGGCCTGGAGGGGCTGGGAGTCTTGGGCACACCATGGGTGGAATTTCTTTTGCTCCAGGGAAGCCTCAGCTCTCAGAGGGTGGAATCCATTTACCCAGGTCAGGGGAGATAATCACTGATGATGGACCTTATCACCTCTGCAAAGTCCCCTCACAGCAGTGCCTTGGTAGTGTTTGGCAGAATAGTGGCGGGGGACTGTAACTTAGCCTAGGTGACCCCTAAAACTGACAGTGAGCCTCTCCGGGGAGGTGACATGTAAGTTGGGACTAGAGTGACTGAGACACCAGGCTGGAGATGATCAGGAGCAGCAGCATTCTGAGCCGAGGAAACAGAGCCTCCAGGCCTCCGGAGAGGGGGAGGGAGGCCCCCGTGGTGAACCACAGCCAGTGTGCTAGGGATCCAGAGCTGGGTGACAAGCCACTCCCAAACCAGTGGCTTAAGGCTTTGGTGTCCTGGGAGTCCGTGAGCTGCTAGGCTCAGCTGGACAGTCCTCTGTCCCTTGTGGAGCTGGCTTGGGCTGCTGCAGTCATCCGGGCCTGATGGGCTGGGGCATCCAAGATGGCGCGTGCATACAGATGGCAGTTGACACTGAGGGTGACAGGAGAGGACTGTCTGCTGGGTCGCCATGTGCTGCCATCTTTCCTTGGGCTCGTGGTCACAGTAAGAGTGAGCCTTCCAAGGGGAAGGACATGGAAGCTGCCAGTCCTGAGCCTCGGCTGACATGTGGATGATTGGGTGAGGGTCAGACAGCCACACTTGTGCCCCGGAGGGAGAGGACGGGGAGGAGGGCTGCCGGGACACCCCTCGGAGGTTATTGACTCTTTACGGCTCTTGTCTCCATGAGACCTTCGCGAAGGACCCCCCCCCCCGTCGTGGCCACCCAGGGTGCAGTGTCAGGAAGGGAGGACAGAGGATAAGCCGGTCACCCCTGGTGTTGCTGTTTGTGTTGGGGGTGGACTTCCACCCCTCCCCCTCCTCCTCTGTCCTGCGTCCTTTGAGGCTGGCCTCAGTGTCTCTGTCCACTCCCTTGCTCTCCTCATCTGTAGAGCAGGGATCTCGACAGTGTCTTCCTCCTGGGCTTGACGCAGGGAAAAGTGTGACAATGCCAGCACAGCTTCGAAACGGGCCAACTGGGCGCTCAGTACGCATCGCATCTGGGTGTGTCCAGAGCGGCTGCCTTCCTTGCCTGGCCCGCTGACGGTTTTTGGCAGGTGGTCCTTTGGCCCCTGTCTCTTCCCCACCTGCTGCCTCTGTGGAATCCCCCACGGAGAAGAGAGAAGACCCGGCTTCCTGGCTTCATCACTGATCGGCAGCAGAGTCCCTTCCTCTCTTCATTGCTGGCACTCGGGAGGCACAGAGTGACATAAGTGCGGTGTTCCCCAGGGGCCCAAAAGGCCCCTCAACAGCTCCCTCTCCATGGTGTCTTTTTCCACTGGCTCATTGTATCTGGCTGCTTTGGCCCTCTCTTCCCTTACAAGCCCTGCCCCAGGGCCTTTGAACGGGTCATTCTGCCCCAGTCTCCGCCAGGGCTGCCTCTTTGTCATTTTAGTCTCAGTTCAGATGTCACCTTTTCAGAGTCCCCTCTCATCGCAGACAGCCTCTGTTGTTACTCCTTCTCCTCCTTTTCTTCCTCTTGCTTTTCTGTTGTAGAGCGGGATCTTGCTGTGTTGCCCCCACCTCCTTGCTCAGGTGTCCCTCCCTTTCTGGGCTTGCCACGCTGCCCGACAGCCACTGCTGTCTGATTTCCTTCACGGTCCCTGGCACATCTCAAATGATTTTGTTTCTGATTGCCTGCCTCTTCCCACAAAAGGTTGGTTCTCAAACCTGAATATTCATCAGGCTGTCCCATTCATCAGATCCTGTCCCCCTGACGTCCTGTGTCAGCCAGCCGGTCCAGGAGCTCCAGGGAATATGCATTGTAACAAGGTCCCGGGGACCACACTTTGAGATCCCCTGTGCCGAGCTGGCCCAGAGCCTGGCCCAGAGCGGGAGCAGCAGCCCAGACCGTCTACACTTTCCGGGGTCAGCAACAATGTTGGCGAACCGACCTGTAGCTCTGGCTCAGTTAACCCTCTCAACAGCTGCCTGAGCTGTGTGTGATGATCATTTCTATTTCCAGTAGGAAGACTGAGGCAGAGAGAGAGAGAGAGAGAGAGAGAGAGAGAGAGAGAGAGAGAGTCACTGCCAAGGGTCACAGGGCA